CCCAGGGAAGTGGTTGAGTCACCATCCCTGGGGGTATTTAAAAGACGTGTAGATGTGGTGCTCAGGGCCATGGTTTAGTGGTGGACTCGGCAGTGCTGGGTTAATGGATGGACTTGATGATTTTGAGGGTCTTTTCCAACTTAAATGATTCTATGATTCTATGAACTAAGGCCGTTCTCTTTCGCATCCTTTCAGACTTGCAGAGTGCAACTTTCAGCCAGAGCACTTGGAAAAGTTGTGCTTGCTCCTGGAAAAGTGCACGGGTCTGACAGAGTACATGTGAGTTAATGGCTGCTTGGACCCATTTGGGTGGGCTCGTTTGTAAGCTGTTCATTACAATGACCTTTGGTTCTAGATCCTCAAATAACAACGTGACAGTCCAAGCTGCAGAAAGACTTTTGCATTCACTGAGGAATAATCTGGGTCTTCTGAAAATGAGGTACTGTGTCGCTGTGCTGTTTTAGATACTGATCTGAGGCTGGTCGGATCATCTAAGATCTCCTTTCATCAAAACCAAAAGTGAACTGTGCTTCTTCCAAAGATAGGTAGTGTTGGCCTGAGAAATTCCCACGGGTGACTCTAAGTCATTGGTATTTTGACTTTATCTCCTTGATTCCTACTAAGCATCATGTAAAGCTGTGGCCATAAACTGTGCTGTCTCTGTAGACCTCTACTTGCTTTACAAAGAAGGTTGCTAATTCTGGTGAACACATTCCTACTGTGTCCTCGCCAGAGGTCTCGCCAGAGCATCCCGCGGTTCACCTGGGTAACAAATTCTTCGCTTCTCCCAAAAGGTGTGGCATTAGAGCACAAGGGCCAGGCTCCCTCTCATTGCTGTCAGTGGTAGGCAGGCAGGAGGGAAGCTGATGTTTGTGTCCTCCTCTGCAGGGGCGCTGGGCTGCTTCTCTGTTCCCAGTTTGCACCCTGTTTCCTATGTAGACATTACTCTGACGAGCAAAGCAGCCTTTCCATGTATATTAGAGCACTGAGCACTCAGCTGACAGAGGCAGAGATGGATCCCTGCACGTGAATAAAGCAGAGCTGCCTATATTCTGCTTTGCAGCATAGAAGAGCCATGGGTATGTAAAGAAAGTGTCACAAACCTTCTTGAGCTGGCTGTCCAGGCCTCTGGAAACATTACTGAGATCACGTAAGTAACACCTCAAGTTCTGGTATCTTTTAGATATTTTCTTTTAGCCTGATACTTTTAAGGAAATGGGATTGAAGCCAGCACTTCAACTTGCTCTTCTGTTCTTTATTCTTTGTCTCCAGTGCATTTGTAAGCCATTAGCCAACGTGAAGCAAGTTTGACCCAAATGTCTGGCGGGTAGAAGTGCTTAGAAGATTTGTGGTCGCACACCTTAGTAGGTGCAGTGGAAAGGGGACCATGTTCCTGGTCTCCCTTGGGAGAAAGGGTGCCCAGATTAGGCTGGCTTTGGAACTAGTTTAAATATTGCAAACCTCTTCAGAGATGGGTGGTTAGCATTCATGCACCAGCATAGTCCTGTGCCATCCAGTCCTCCTGATTTTTCTTCTGGAAAATAACATTTGCCCTCCCTCAAGCGTTCACAGGCTTATGATGTTCTCAAATCTCTACCTTTCCAGGATATGTAAAGATAAAACCCTCTTCCAATTAGGCGTAAGGTTCCCACACTGCCTGGAGAAGGTGGAATCAGTCGTCAGCAGGTGAGAAAGTGACTATTTGTCCTTATTTTCTGCTTGTTCTGAAACTCACCATGGGATGAAAAATACCTTCAGAGTGTCTGAGGCTCTGGTCTCTGTGGGTTCAGTCTCAGAGTGCCTCTGTGCCACATGTGCAGAAGGAACCTTAGTCACGTGCATGTGTCTTTCGGGCCACCCTCCTTCAGGCCCATACCGGACCTGCACGAGGTAAAAAAATCTACCTGCCTTCCCTGCAGGACCAGGAGCACTCAGGAGACATGAGCACTTTGAAGACTCTTAAGACATGCTGGCTTCTGCCTGAATGTGTAGAGAGAGAACAGCATTAGTGTCTTTTTCCCTTTGTGTAGCTGAAGAAGAAGGCAGCTGTCTTCTTGTGCAGTTGGGGAAGGGCTGTGTTTCTCTAGACTGGACTGTGGTGTAGGCGAGACGTAGCAGGAGAGCCCAGGGAGGGCACTTGCAAAGCTCTGATCTGTTCCTAAGCCTGGCCCTAAGGGGCACCAGACGCTGCAGTGGGTGTTGGCTGATCATCACTGACAGTGGCGTTGCGTGTTTGTGTCCTGCAGATTGAATCTGCACAAGCCAGAAATCAAGCATGCTTGCTTCTACCAAAGGGTTCGTGAAAAATGTGCTCAGCTTCAGGAATTGAGGTGAGTTGCCAGGCATTGTAGAGGATTTTTTGGGGAAGGGAGTAGCTTGTGCTTGTGTGTGCAGGAGAGCACGCAGCAGGGCAGGGGAGAGGCCAGTGCAAGGTCCCAGTCCCTGCCCTCTGGGTCCCCTACTTAGAGTGTTTGGATGCAAAACAGAAAAGACCCATAGACCTAGTGGCTTCCTGGGGTATCCTTTGAAGGCATCTAAATCTCTCCCCTGTGCCCAGATAACCTGTACTCTTTTATCGTGGCTGGGAGCTCCCATGGGACCTTGCCAAGTATCAATGTCGTGACACTTCTTCAGTGTCCCAGCACCGGTGTGCTTTAGCTGTGGGCCTGGTACAGACCTTTGGCCATCAGTGGACGTAGCCCCAGATCTGTTGTTCTGTTCTTGCAGATGGTCTCATGTTGAGCTCCACAATGATGAAGCAGAAATGCTAGTCAAGATTTTGCTACCTCTTCCAGAGCTGAAGAAGTTTGGGTATGTCCCCAGCTGTGGTCTCTTCTACATCTTTATCGTTTGCTCAACCCTGTGCCTCACCCTGATCCTCTCTGAAACACTTTTTGTCTGGAATATGGTCATGAGCTCTGTGATCTCTCCTGAGCCGTGTCTAGGTTGCAAACTCAACAGCTCTCTGCAGTTCATGCTAAAGGTGGTTATAGGGGCACCATGTGCGTGTCTTGAGGTTTTTTCCTCTTCCCCTTTTTTTGAAGTGAAAGCAATTTGAGACTGAGACCTTGGCTCTTGTTTACATTGTGGGTAAGTTTATACCACCCTACTGTGTAAAAGAGCTTCTTCTGGTATGAATAGCATTCAGTCCTCTTCACAGCCCTCTTCAACTGCCTGTAAGTGAGTGGCAGGCTTATAAAGGGCACCTCTGCCCAGTGAAATGCTGGGGGCTGGTTGGCCCAGGCAGAGACCGTGCTGTTTGATTACATGTACGTTATGTGAACATCTCTGAACTACCTAGTCCTCGTAGTCCCGTACACAGGAGGTGTGGAAATCTCTCCAAATTTACTGGTCCCCGATGTCTCTGCTGGCTGGGGTTTGGGATGGGGCAGCTTGCCTGTCAGTGAAATAAACTCCTCTTTTTCAGTGTGCTGAGATCTGACCTTCTTATTTGATCCTTGCTGTTTTGCAGGCTGACCTCTAGCAGTATTATGCCGACTGGAATTGATTACTTGATCATGGGCTTGCAGAATTGCCAGGCCATTGAAGAGCTCAAGTGAGTGTGTTGTTACCGGGCTGTCCAGAGTCTGCCAGGTCTTTCTAGGAGCTTTAGTTAAACTGCAGCCTCGCTTCTGCCTGTACTGTGGACAGATGTAGTTTTCCTGATGGCTGGAGGACTTCAGATAGGGAAGAAGCAACAATTCCTTTTTATTCACAATGAACAATGAGTGAGAGAGGCAGAGATCAGTAGTCTGTGGCAGGGAACGTCCAGTGGAGAAATAAAGTGTTTTGGTAGCTGGTTTTTGCATGGATCGTGTCCCAGCTGGGAGGCAGTGTTTCCCGTGCAGCAATCCCGGAGCCAGCATTTCACTCCTGGAGGATGATCTGGTGGCCTGCACACAGAGATGGCTTTTCCAGGCACCAACATGTTAAGGCATCCTTCTGTTACGAAGTGCCACTGGACCGTGTGGGAGAGCTTTGCCATCTTGTGGTCACAGTGGCACCTTGCTCCATAGAATCATAGGATCATAGAATAGTTTGGGTTGGAAGGGACCTTTAAAGGTCATCCATGAGGGGCTGGGTTCTTGCTCCAGAGATCTGGAATTCTCTTGGTATTTTATTAGGATCCAAACACATCCAGTAGAATTACATTAGAGAACAAAACTGAAAACTATGCACAGGGACTAGAACACGCTCCCACTTGTCTTCCACCCTTGTTCTGCTCTCCTCTGCTCTGAGTGCTCGCATGACTGCCCATGGGTAGTTAGTTGTTCCTGTGTTATTTCATCTTTCAGCCTGGGCCACATGAAACTCAGCGGTGCTGCCATTCCTAAACTTGTGCTGGCACTTTGTGAAATGCCATCTCTGAAAAGGCTTATGTAAGTATGTGACTGCAGCTTGCCTCTAACCCAGCTTGTGATATTGAATAACACTAGCGTAACGTCCATTTTCCTGGGGATGTTGTTTCCAGCTTGAACCATAACAGTATTGGTAATGATGGCTGCTCCAGACTCACAGAAGCCTTGAGGAATATGCACTACTTGGAGGAAATCAAGTAAGTTTCTCTTTTCTTGCAGTGTTTCATCAGCAGAGAGGTGACCACTAGTGCCAACATTTGGAGAGACGCAGATGTGCTTATACATGATGTTGTAACAAAAGCAGGGAGGTTGCGAAATGCTCATGTATGAGATACCTGGGGCTAGAGGAAATCAGAGCTTGATGTTCAGAAGAGGAGAATTTGGTCTAACCCCACTCTGCTGCAGTCACGTAGAAAATGGATTAAACAGCCTCTGGATTTAAATCATTTCTGGAATCCGTGGGATCCAGAACAGGGCCAGAGGCCCCCTTCTCTCCTGGGAGAGCCTTGGACCCAGCGCTTCCTTGCTCTGGAAAGGTCTGAATCTAGAGCCAACCCCAGGCTTGCTCTGCTTTTCTGCCTCTCTCTCTAGCCAGATTCTGTCCATTCTCCACTGCAGTAGTTTGGAAAATAATAACCAGCTGTTGCCTGTCTTGGTATTCTGGCTGAAGTAATTTCCCACCCATTAACAAGATCCAGTGATTTTGATTGCTCTTTGCAATTTTTTTTAATGCGTCATTAACAGCTATTAGTTTTTCATGAGATAGTTGAGACAAGCAGCTCTTTGATTCTGCTGCCAAGGTCAGAGGTGTCATCCAGCAGATGAGAGACATTAAGTAAGATCTCATACTTTGCCTGACGCTTAGCATTTTCCTTTACAACACAGCCTTTCTTCTCTTCTTTAAAGTTTAAGC